TATATATAGATTTATAAAGATAAGGTGTCCAAAATCAATTTATTGGAGGCCTATAGTGAAAATATTTGCAAACTGAAAGATCTATTGCCTAGAATTTGCTTAACTCAAAATTAAGCTTAATTTTGAAAGAAAGCATCTCCTCATGTTTTTTTTCAATTTTCTGCTCTATTTACTTTCTACTTTTATAGAGAGATATGCACAAGTGAGTTAGAGAAATAAAAGAAAAAGAAGGCCCCCTATGAGGACATCAAAATAGAAATGAAATAAAAAATCTGATTGCAGGCAAAATAAGAGACAGAGGTAGAAGAGTTTGTTCAATGTCTTATGTTTTGGATTCCACAGAGTTTCCAGCAATTTAGAAAAAAACAACTTTTGCAGATGTACAAGTGCATGGTGATGAAATTATTGTTGGGCACACAATGTGAATCTCTGTAAATATATTTAGAGGCAGGATTTAATAAACTAAGGTGTCTGGTGCAGATTTGGCATAGTGCTGTTCCAGATATGGAAAACTAGACCAAAAAATGAAGAAAAAAGTGGGGGGGAGAGGGAAAGACCATTAAAGAAGGAGAATGGATACACGGGAGAGAATTCCAGGAAATGCAGAGTTTAAGACCACAATTAATGAGAAGTAGACACCAAATACTTGAGAATCTATGGAAGGAAAGTAGCAAATAGAATTTTAAATGCAAACTTCCAGCACAAACAGCAGAAGAGGCCAAATAGCTTGTAAGGTTGGGAAGTGAAGAGATCAAGCACCAGGCTTGAACAAACAAAAGAGAATAATTTTCCCTCAAAGCACATAACTAAATTCAGAACCTTGTTGCCACAGGTTACTGTGGAAGCTAAGATGACAAATGTTTTGAAATGGGACTGGACAGGCAGGTTGGAATATAAATAATGCTATAGGTTAGGAAAGGTGCAGTGGGACTTCTGGTCTTACACATCGTAGGAGATCTGTTCAAAAGCACATTTCAAAACACTAATGAGGTTGTAACTCGGTCTTTCAGTTGCCTTCATTTGCTTGCCCAATGAAAAAAAAAAAAAGAGAGGCTGAAGACAAAGGAATATGTCATGCCACTTGGAATTTCCCAGAGATCCTAAGTAACTGGCACAACCACTTTCCTAGTTAAAATTTGGGCAATTAGAACTGCTTTGACCATCCACAGCTGCTGATTCACGTTCATTTCCATACTGCTCTTCCAGATAATTGCTGCACAACACATTATATATAGCTCTGAATATTTCAACTAATTTAATGCCTGGCTGTAGATTGGTATATCAGGATATCTCACCGAGGTACCCTGTTTCAAATAGGGCTGCAAATGATAAACTGCTGCTGCTTCCATTAAGGAGGTTTCTCAGTGATGTGGACTTCTGCCACTCACTCCAAGGTGGTGCTGAGCTGAATCTTTGGCAGTGACACCCAGAGGTTATGAACTACTCCTCCAAACACAGCATCTGTGTCTTCAGGTTGATTATGATGGAACAGCTCCTTCCTCAACTCCAGCTAAATCACTGCAGTTATTACCAGAGCTCTGTAAGCAGAGTCTCTGCTTTTTTTGGGGTTGAGCAACACGAGTTTGACAGTTTGCTCTGTTTGCTGGTGATTAATGACTAGTATTTGGACAAAGGTAAACAAAAATTCTTAATAAATTGGAAGAGAGTGAAAATTGCCTGGGGCCCATTACCAAAGAAAGTGTGTAATATATCTAGCCAGAATGTGCACTTCTAAAGCACTAAGCTTGCCAATTAGAATACAGAAATGACAACAGCTACAGGCATTAAAGCCTGTGCCTTTGTTATTGCATGAAACAAATGTTTGAGCAAACTACATGTCTTGCCTTTGTGCTTCTTCCTATAAACTCTGACTTTGTACCCACCTTCCTGCTTCCCAGAGTACTTTTTGACATTTATTATTAACAATAAATGTTAAGAAAAATGAAATTAGCAGTCACATTGATTCGGCAAAGCAGCATGAGCATATTTAATAGCCCAAGCCTTTAACCTTATTCAAATAGATTCAATTTCTCTGAAGTCTGGTTTCTTTAATTATACAAAAAAAAAAAAAAAATATTGTCAGATACTAGTTGTATTGGACACATTTCCATTCATCTGCTTACAGCAATATTTATTTTCTCTGCCATCACTTAACATCAAAACAGTATTACCTCATCATCACCACTCTCAATAGAAAAAAAATACTACTCTTCTGTATAATTTTGTGTTTAGGTTGGTCAAGTTAAAGGCATGAGACACTCTTTGCTTGGTTTGTATAATTAATATGTATAAATACTTTGCTTACACCAAATCTCTAATTATGATAAGCAATATTTTCCATTTTTAGCCAATGTTCTCTCTACACTAAAGCTACCTAAATCTTCTCTGAGCTAGGAAGATAACCTAAAAATTGAGAAAATTAGTAGATTCAGTATCACTCAGAGGGGGAATTCTTAGGGGGGAAAAAAAAGGGAGAGAAGCAGAAGAAGATCTTACACCATTAACACAGAAAAAGATAAAAATCTGTTGAAGTGCAAAAAAGAAAGGAATAAAATGTATGGAAATCACAGTGCATATTAGAAAAGGAAAGCTGTGAATCATGTTGCCCTTCCCTGCCTCTGCAGAGGATGCCTTCCACTGGTGTCCCCTGATTCCTCACACAAGCTGGTGTGGGAAATCTGGCATGTGCCTTGTCTTAGAAACCTGATTTTCAACGTAAGAAGTCATATGATTAATGAGCTCTAACAAAGGAGTAGGGCAAAAAAAAAAAAAAATCACATCAACATGTTAAGCACAGGGGAAGGGATGAGAAATCATCGGATGCTTCCAGATATATTTAGGAAGATTAAAAAAATATACACCTCTATTAAATAGAAGGATGCATCTCAGAAAATGATAAAAAGTAGGTTTTCTAGCCCCCAGAGAGAGAGGGAAAAATACTGTATAATTTTAGGAGGATTATGGTTCACTAGAGACATTCATGAACGTAATGAGCTAAAGAAGGGGTAAGACTGCTTAAATTTATCTATACGACTGATTGTGCTACACTTGGTAAAATAATTGTGTCAGTCTCCTTTGTACTTAAAATAAACCTTACAACTCTGAACCCCAGTAAGTTGTTAAGTACTAAACATCATCTCATGCTCTGTCACATAACTCTGATTGTTTCAGAAACCTGGGAAGCTCCTGACATTTACCTTCTCTATTTCCAGCGCTGGAATCGCAGAAATGCAATTAGGAAAACTCAGGTACTCATAACAGGAAAGGTCAGCAATGAGCAAGCTGAAGCTGATAACATGCCTAATGTGCTGCCAAACATAACAGAATGCCTGCCTGATAATGAGTGATTTTACAGACTGCCAGGAAGTTGATGTAACATAATCAGATCAACACAGGACACACCACTGTGTAGGAGTGGGAATGGTGAAATATTCTTTGATAGAGTTCTATTGCAAAGTCACTGCTGATGGAAAAAGATCCCCCTTTATAAAAGGCCGTATTTTCAGAAATAATCACACAAATAAATTGGGCAGAAAACACAAATGACAGAAGCTTCAACATATGGTAAGTGCAGAAGCCATTACCTCATCAAAGGCAGAGCACTTTGTGCCTGCAGCCAACAAACACCACACCACCACCTCTGGGATGCAAAAGACATTTTTTCATTTCCTCTTCTTGTAGCAGCCAATGTAAATAGAGGTTAGAGGGTTTAGTTTTTCTGTTTGCCTTTAACACAGAAATACTCACGCAGCAGTACAGGCTCTGTGTTCCTCATGCAAAGATCTCCTCCTTATTTGTGCCACTAATCCTACATAAACTAATGGTGAACTTGAAGAAAAATGAAAAGTAACCTAAGTGTTTCTTTTGAAAAATGACATTTCATCAACAGTGCCAATAAATATCTCATTACTGAAAGCAGCACTTACTAGAATTTTTATGCCAAATACCTAGAGGCAGGTAAACCAGAAGTGAAAATTGTTTCTGATACCTTACAACCATCGAGGAAATGTGTATTTCTTGTAACTGAGTTCATCATGAGCAAATAAAATCTACATAATTCTCTTGTCTATTTAAAGACTAAAATTTGCATTAGATTTTTTTCATTTTATTCTGTAATACTTATAAGAAATTGCATTTAAAAAAATAGAGGGAAAAAAGTACCATCATGAATTAAAGTGGAGGTTCTGACTCTATATTCTCTTATATTAAAATTCATATTATGGAAATCATAACCTTCCAGAAATTACCTGTGATAACATCACAGGTACATCATGTTTTGAGACTCCTAGATCCAAATTGCCGGGCTGTATTAAAGGAAAATTCTAATTTTATATTATAGTTTCCCCTATACATGATCAAAGTAGAAGGCAGTTGGTTTTTTCACATGACACATATTGTTGCCTAATTAATTACGGGGAAAAAAAAAATCCAAGAACTGTAATTTAATGTGAGCCTTCCTATTTTTCCATTTTATTGGAAGTAGTATAATGCATTTAGGACATGACACAGTTTTGAGGTCTGACTGTAATGATGGGCCAGGTGATATCAGCTAACTTATATGAGCTGAATTTTCTCAGTAGCAGGCTGTAAGTTGTGTGAAGTATTCAATGTCTTGTCTTTGGTGGTCTATAAAAAGCTAAGCAGAAAACCTCAAGTACACATCTGTCTGATATTTCTCTTCATATATCCTTTTGTAACCAGCTCTTTCTGAACAGCTGGGCCTGAGGCAAGTATTTATGAAACCCACACACTGCAATACATTTTTACAGGTGCTTACTTAGCAAAAAGTTCACAATATAAGTGAATATATTTTGTGTAAACTGTAAGAAGAGAGGCATGCCAATAAAAAGACAATGAAAAAGAAAGACAACAGCATCAATAAAAGTGCAATTACGCTTCCAAATTTTCTTGCTGTTCTTTCCATAATGATCACAAGCACCTGATTGTATCAGCCAGAAAAGTGAAATATGCATGGAATGCACTAAGGAGAGCACACTCACCATGTACTATCAGGACATATTCTGTGCTGTTTCGGCCAATGGGATTTTTTGCTTCACATCGGTACGTGCCATTGTCTGTTTTGTTTAGGAAGCTGATGCTTAGAACTCTGCCATTGACAACCATTCTCTCTGGATCTGGTAGTTCTCCACCATCCTTTGTCCACAGTACTGGTTCTGGCCTGTTGGGTCAAAGCAAGGCATTTATTTAGACAGGTGAAACACGTATATGCAACATGTACATCAGAAATAGCAGCATCAGCAACTTATAAATCACCTACCACCCCAAAAATATTTGAATGACTGGATCTAATGAACTCTCACTGTTACAACTTTGCCATCCTGGATGTGAACTGTTAAAGAAAATGAAAGAACAAGTAGAGAAATAAGAAAGAATACAAATAAAAAAGGAAGCAGAATGGTACTGCAATAGGCCATGATCTTTCCTAAATTAAAAAAATAGTTCCCCTGAGGTTTCAGGGCCCACAAATGCTCGGCAAGCTAAGTGCTAATAGGATGATGTGGGTGTAAGTGGTTTGTAAATTGATTCTCAAATTACTTAAGCCATTCATTTTCACAAGTGAACTTGAATGCACTGAGTATTTTTCCTGAATCAGGTTTATCAGTCCCAAAGTAGCATGTCTTACACAAAACCTAAACTTATTTCTCTTGCTGCATTGTGTCACAGCCCATCCCTTTTCACACCTTTTCTTCATCCTTCCCTTAAATAATTCCTTGTTACCAATGCTAGTTACCACAAGCAATGTAAGATGTAACTTGAAATCCTGAATTTTCTTCTCTTTGTGAAACCTTTCCTCCTTTGCCTGATGCACTCAAATCAAACAGGACAGAGGCAATGCCCTGGCAGTGACAACCCCCTAGGCAAGGTAAGGGCACCACAGAGAAGGGAACTGGCAGTCCTGAAGGTTCACACACATCTCCTCCCCACTGGCAAGGCACACCCAGCTCCTTCCTACAGACTCTCAAGGAGCTCCAAAGTCCAGGAGATCTGCCTAACAGACAGCAGGATGTATTTATTACTGGCATGCAGCCCTTATTTGTGTGTAACAAGATATACTTTCAAATTTACATGAAGGAAATGGCCAAAAAGACAAGTCTGTAACAGGGAATGAAAGGTTTTACTGAATCTTGTCTATGTAATGAGCAGACAGAGCATCTCAGGCCCTTTTACATCACTCACTTCAGCAGGATATTCATAGCCTGGGGCTTCAGTGCTGCCTTGCTTGTAGCTTTGTGCTGTATAAGCTACATACCAATCTCTATCCAAACCCGTACAACTGAGCTTATTACTTGTACAACTCAGTAATAAACCCAAACATAATACACTGTTATAAAATTAACAGCTGCCAGGTTAGTCACTAGTTATACTCAAGAAACACTTAATTTCACTAATTTGAAGCAGGTGTTTTAAGCCTATTAGATATAATAAGTGCTAAGAAAAAGAATTAAACCTAAATACTTAAGGAAAAACATTTAGCCAAAATGTGGTCTCATAAACAGAAAAATAGTTGTAATGGTTGTAATGACATGATTTTCTTTTGAGTTGGCAACACATGTAAACAGAGGGAATTTTTCTGAAATGCACTTTATAAAATTCAAATTAATCTTTAAAGAAAAATATTTATTCTGAAATATAATAGATTTACACACATTTTAGTAATATTTTGGATGACACCCTGTTAAAATGTTGCCGAACTACTTAGTTCTTAGACTGGCTATTCTCCAAAGTTTTGATTTTTTTCCAGAAAATCATATGCTCAGAGAATAAAAGCAAGGATTAAGAACTGATGGTGTCATGGGCCTTATTTATGCCTTACCATAAATAAGTCTTAATGCTCTTCCTAAGTTCATTTTCATGAACTGGTATCCACGCACAATGATACACAATGCACACACTTTCTTTTGTGTTTAATGCAAGCAGGGAATCCAGATGTCCATGCTGCTGTAGAAACATTGCCCTACAGAGTTCCCAGCATTAAGGTGTGATTTGCTTGATATGTTAAGGTGGATTTGTTCAATTTTCCGGCCAACTCTGCATTGTTTCCCATTTACCAGCTTACTGTGGATCTGTAATCCCAGGAGTGGAGACTCTGAAACACTTCTGCTACAATGTGCACCATTACCTGCATAAATGGCGTGTTAAAGCAACTTCTGTGCAGTGGTAATTTATGGAACTTAGGTTTTAAATTGAAACTAGATGGCATATCCTAGGGGAAAACCTATAGGATAACAAATAAGTATGAAATGGAGCTGTAGATATAAATTATTCAGGGAGCTCTGTCACATTGTAATACACCAACTCCAGACTTATACAGAGCACTTAGCTGTGGTTGCAAAATGACGTGTGGCAGAAAAGCCAGGGCTTAGAGAGAGGCAGATCTGCATTCTCTGGGTGTTGGGGAAGCTGCTAATGAAGGGTGGATATTCAGCCATCCTGTGCTGTATTTTGGCAGCAGCAGAGGCAGCAGGGCCATTGCCAGCACATCCCAACAGGGCAGAGCTCTCCCTCCACCTCTCTGCTCTGGGGCACGGTGGTGCCTAAAGCAGCAACTCTGTCACAGCCACGGAATTAAATTCTGCCTGCACTGCTGGGAAGCTTTGAGACACTTGGTCAAAACAATTCACTGGTTAGGCAGAAGTGAGCTGAGAACAGGAGACGTGTTCATGCACCCATCACGCTGCTGTGGTCAGCAGCAGGGGGGTGGCTGTTTTAGAGAAACATGGGAGTACATCCATTTTCTGCTGCCCATTCCTCCTGCACTCTGCCAGCAACCACAATCATCCTGTCAGGGGTGCTGCAGGCCACGTCTTTTGTTCTCTTTTATATCCACTTATTATTTAGACCTGTGCCTATGAAACTCTCCAATATCTTTTGGAATCTGCTTATGATGTCCATCAACACAACCTCCTGCAGCAACTGATTCTGGAAATTCCTCCCTACCTGCCATGTGTTGGAATTTTGAAGTTTAGGAATTGTGAATTTTTTTGTGTTTTTTGATATTGACTTTTAGAAGACTATTGGTTTTGATTTGAGGTTTTGGAGAAGGTTTTTAAATTTGAGTAACAGAGTTAGAATTATTGGTGTGTAGTTTGCTTAGAAGTGTGTAATTTGGTATGGTAAAGAGTTTGGAATTCAGGGTTTTCGAATATAGTAATAAGTATGGGATAGAATGGAGGGTTTGGGGATGTTTTTTGAAGTTTTTTTAGTATTTACTTTTAGCTGTCTTTCACTGAGCTCCTAGAATTGGCAATGCATATTGCAGGATATGGTAACACTCCTTCCTATTATAACCTTGCTGTAAGTTATGACAGACTAGTACTTACCAGGCCTGTCTCTCCCCCTTTTACTCTGTTTGCTAGAATTTGATACCTTCTGAGATTATCAGCAGGGAAAAAAAATACACAAAAAACGGGGCAAAGGAATCTTGACTTTAGAGCACATTGAGTATTCTTTTGTAACTGCTTTAGTACCTTCATTGTCCAAAATGAAACACTGAAACAGCTTCCCTTCTCCGTCACAAGGCACAGAAAAGTGTGAATTCCCCACAGTTTATCCTACTGAAATCTGTCCACAAGTGCAGACAGAGGTTCTTGCACTTCCCCAATGTTTTGAAAGAGATACTTAGGTTGGACATGCTAAAACACCTGACATATGTATGGCCCTAATATTGCACATTTTTCTCTCTTGCATACGTCTCTAACATTGCAAAATTTAAGTTCTTTTCTAAAAATACTAAAGAGTTGCCATAATGCTGTCAATTCCTATGTGAACTGGAACAAACAGGGATGTTTGTACAAACAGCACCTTCTATTTGTGCATTCAGTGAAAGCCTTAAAAAAAGGAACTGGTTTCTCATACAGAAATCTGAGTTTGTTAACTGTCTTCATGTTAGCCTCAAAACCTGCCATAGAACCAACAAAATTTGGTGTTCTTTTCCAGTCAGAACGAAATGAGATTGAAATGAAGGTATGAAACACCAGTGTGAAGTTCCACAATGATTCATATTTTATATTGTGGTATTTTTCTTACAAGTAAACGAACAAAGAATTGGTAGATATAGCAAAACTATTTTCTGGTCTTGAGAGTACAAAACCTTTTCTTTCAAAACAAGTCACAGAGAAAGATAAAGGCAAACTAAAATATGTTGGAAAAGAAATAAATTAAAAACCACATGCTTGATTAGAAAAGAACACCTAGGCACTGTCTTAGCTTTTCAACAAGTGTTTACATAACATGAAAGTCAACAAGTATATTTGTCTACATTAAATCATTTTTTTTTAGCTGAGGCCTTTGAAATTACACAGGAGTATTTTAAGGCAAGACTGGCAAATTTCTGTCCCTTTCTCCACCCTTAGCCCAAGGACAGTAATGGTTCAGTGGTTTCTTATAATCCTCCTCTCTAGTGATATCTTTAAATTTAACTATAATAATTAATTTACCCTTCATTTAAAAATTATACATCTATCTATTGCATTATATTTTCTTTCTGAACAAAGTTAATTTAGGCAATGCAATACATTTTCTCTTGAAACTTCTTGGCTCTATGCATTTTAATTGCCCTTTTCTCATTTTTGTGTACAGAAAGGTCATGTACGAAGCCTTCTTCACTGAGTCCTTAGTAAACAACACCTGAACAACTTACTGACCCATTATAATAGCACAGAATAATCTTTTAATTTCCATAAGATTACACTCAAAAAAAACCCCTGACCAATGAAAAACAGTAACAAAAACCCCCAATGCCACCTTTTTACATGCCCAGCACCACTGGGAATAGAATCCAACTGGGTATCTAAGCATCCTTTCAAAATTTTGTAACCAATGTGGGTAAAAATAAAGATGGAAGAAGAATAAGAATTTGAGGAACACTAACAAGATAAAAATAATTTTTTAATTTTGATTAAGGCTCTCTCCAAGATTACCTTTTACTTCTCCAAACAGTATACTCTGAAGTCCATAAAAAACATCATCTAGTGGATATGCTCAAATGAGTAATGGAAAAGGCATCACAAGATTTATCAGAGTGTTTCTTGTTGAAAACCTGGTGCAATGTTAAAAGTCATCTAAGGGAATGATTGCTTCATTAATTTGAAACTTATAGTTCCTTTGTATCAAGAAACTGGATTTTTAGCTTTATCAGTTAATCATCCACTTGAAAGT